ATCAACTTACCTGGCAGCAGAGCGAAGACATTCCGCGCTGTTAACCGCATGCTTGCGTCTCACCAAGGCATTCAAGATCTTCAACACTTGGACCTCTCCTGCAGTTACCGGAGGAGTAACATCCATCCCTACCGACAGTACCCAAGGCGAGGAAGTTTAGCTGATCACGGATCAACAGGAGTACCCCCTTCTATAGTCGGTGTGCTGGACAAGCCGGATCCAGCATTCTCAAGAAATTTGCTGATCCCGCTTTACCACACGAACAGCAAAACCTCGTTAAAGTGTTAAAGCGTCATGAAGGAATAATGATTACTAGAGGTAATGACTGCCACCCCCGCGCTTACGGAGTGGTTTGCGATATTGACATGCAGGGACATATGACCATTAAACAAAGAGCACCGTGAACGCCACTGCGAGTGCTGGAAAAGCTGTACGAGTTGCTGAAAGGGCTATTACGAGCTGGATTGATCACGTTCTCAGACGGCCCAATGGCATCGCCCATTGTGATAGTGCTGAAAAAACGGGGTTGATATCGGTCTTTGCATCGACTACAAACGAGTGAACGCTGTCACGACTATCATGGAATATGCAATGTCGTTGGTAGACGATTTACAGACTGATATGGAGGCGTACCTCTGGTTTTGCTCGCTTGATGCGGCAAGTGGGTTCTCGTGATGATGACTGAGAGACCTCGAAAAGACCCTGCATTTGTATGCGCACTTGGTCACTTTGAATGGAGCCGGACGCCGTTTGGGCTTAATAACGCGCCAATGATTTACCAGCGGATGATGGACAAGGCTTTATGGGGGTTCGTTCAACCCAAGGGCGGTTGGAAAAAATATGCGGTTCGCTGAAGAAAACGTCGAACGTACCAAGACAGGGGTAACAGGGGGCTCAACGAGGCCTCGTTCTAAGTTCGAAGCCGACCGAGAGTCAGCATCGAACCCGGACCCTGTCTCAGAACTCGCCAACAGTCCTACGTGCGATATTTTCTCGAACGGTGAACCAGACGAGTCCTCGTTGGTACCAGTATTTGACCAGATATCGTTTGTGGAAGACATTTGTTTTGGATGCAAGACGTTTGACGGTTGACTGTGAACCCTAGATAGACTGCTCCGCAGATTCACCGAATGCTGGATAAGTGTCAGCTTTACCAAGAGCAGTTTTGTTCAACCACGGGTCGATTTTCTTTCGCATGAAGTGGTGCCAGAAGGATTGGGAGCAGACGCTAAAAGATTTAGCGGGTGACCGAGTTCTCGTTCCCGACCAGCAAGAAGGGCATGCAGTCTTTCTTGGGCGTTCTAAACTACTACAGTAGGTTCATATATGATTTCGCGGTATACGCGGTGGCGTTGTACCAGCTGAGGGAGGAAGACGATGGACCAAGCGGTGACCTGTCGGTCACCAGACAGAGTTTTGCGAAGTTGCAACAGAAGATTATCGACGCCCCAATTCTGCGCCATTTCGATCGTTGGAAAAAGTGCATGTAACGCTGTTCGCGAACGAGTGGGCATTAAGCTCAACCCTGATGCAAGCGCATGGAAAAAAGCACCCGGTACGATTTTGCGGACGAGTACTCAAAGAAGCCGAGATGAATTACCACCCTACCGAGAAGGAGGTGCTAGGATTGTTACTGCTGCTAAAGACGTGTTATACCCAGCTGGCGGGCTGCACAATTCATGTGTACACGCGATTTTCAATCGAATGGGTACATACGTCCAAGTCACTGTACGGACGTACGACCCAATTCACCGTAATGCTATTACCGTGGCACATGGTTGTTAACCGAGTAGAGGAAAAGGATTGTGCCTTCGTACAGCTACTGCAAGCGGGGTTAACGAGTTTTGTGGATTTGGAGGACTCGTTGGCGACAGTTACACCACCCACGAAGGGATCGTCTACCATTCGCATGGAACCTCAATTGCTATACGCGCGTCTAACGAAATCCTATTGTGGGTTCGTAGTCTCGTTCGATAGTTCAGCCAAAACCACAAAACAAAAAGCTTGCACATCGATGGTGTAGTGGGCATAGGGCTCACTAGTTAGCTTACACGTGTGCGCACGTGTACGAGGAAGCGTAGGTGTTCCTAGCTTGTTTAGCGTACACACGATGCGTGTGTACGGCAAGACAAGTTAGGAGCTAGATTGCACAAAATGAGAACTGTATTGTTGCTTAAAGGATGTTTCCTTCATAAACTGTTTATCGAATATCTAAGGGACTGTCAGCGGGTGGCTAACAGTGATTCGCATCGCTGATTGGTAGAAGTGTGTCGCACTCTACCAATAAGATCTCTTCAAATGCAGTCTTGGTGTGTGAATACACCAAGACGGGAAACATCTAACTCTAACCGATTAGCGTTACGGTTAGAGTTTCGTGTAACCCCGTTTCACCCCCTTAAGATTTGACGTGCTGATCACAACACGTCAATCCAAGCCTTGACGAGACCGTCAAGTCTCCGAGAGAATTTCTCACTCATTTCGCGATGAGCGCGCCTCTGCAAACACCAGCGTCCTCGCCAGTGGCACCAGCACCCGTGCCAGCGTCCGCGCCTACCTCAATGTCGACGCCTGCGTCTGATCCCGCGTCAACAACGGCCTCCGCGTCGGTGCTTGCTTCCGTGCCTGTGTCGACAGCAACGCCGACACCCCTAAGTGGCACGACAGAGAAGAAGCTCGAGCTCGAGGAGAAGAAGCGCGCTAGAGCCGCGAAGACAGCCAGTCCGAAGACTGTCTTTGATGGTTCGTCGGTCCTCTCGACCGACGGTGGTATCGCCGTGGACTACGAGGAGGGAGAGGGTACCTCGTCTTTCCCGTCAATTGAGTTCAAGCCTGCGACTGGGACTCGCAGCGCCCGTGAAGAGGATTCGAGCGCTTCATCTTCGAAGCGCCCGCTAAACGTTAGTGATGCAGTGCCTTCCACACTGGAAGCACGTGCCTTCGCTTCGGATCCGCCTGTTGTTCCGTCAGAGCAACGTGATGCCTCGCGCACTGATGACTCAGTGCGCGATCCTGGATGCCGTCTCAAAGTGTTATTTCAGCACGCTATGGGTGCACGGTTCCTCCGAACGTGATACCGTTGTACGTCGACCGTAGAATTGTATACGACGCTGAAGCTGCGTCAAAGCACTTTGAGCCGATGACGAATCAAGGCGAAATTTCTATATCTCGCTTTTCCACGAGCTCCGATACTGGAGCTCGAAGAAGACTTCGGGGTGAAGCAGAGTGCCTGGGTGGCAGACACTCTGTCAAAGCTGGAATCAATTTGTTGAAAACGTCAACAAAAACTCGACAGCTTATCCCGATCGAGTCGCTTCAGCTCGCGAGTGCTTCATGAAGTACTCGGTTACTTCTGTCGTCCAACGCTTCCACGAAGGGTCGGTGAACGCAAGTATTCCTTGCGCAATGCCAGTGGGCATTCATTGTCCGCACTGTCCGCCTGGTGCTTCCCGCATCAGCGAAAGAGACCTTACCGGGTACACGACTAACCGTGTACCTGCGAACGCTAAGGAGCTACGTACTAAATTCGCTTGCACGCGTCAGCATCCTAGTGTTGTGCTCAAGCACAACACTAGGATGCGCCCCGCAGTGTTTCGCCTCCCGTCCATGGTGGGGTTCGTACACCCTCACCGTTTCCGGAACGTTCCGTCGTCAGGACGTTTCGAGGAAAACACGTATCTCGAAGAAAGCCGATTGTCTCCAACGAATACGAAGACAAACCGAGCTCCGGTTCGTCTTTGGGTTGGTATGGTCTACAATCCGATCCACATCGGCGTGGATTGTACCGCGGACAGAGTTATGCTTCTGTCGGCGGTGGCGGACGCTCATCATATGGTCAACCCCAGGTTGACCACAGTCTTCAGTTGTTCCACGCCCGCGTGGAGGCTCTTGAGACCGTTCAGGCTGCTCAGACCGGTGGGCTGAAGCTGCAGCTGAACGTGCAGAAGGCTTACGTGGCCGAAGCCGCTCAGACCACCTCAAATATCCGTGTTGAGATGTCGGAACAAGTTCACCTTCTTCAGGAGAAGGTGAAGAAGCTTGCTGAAAAGCTGAAGTCGCCCCGGACGTCGTTGTCGGCGAGTCATCACAGCTAGATGACTCCAGCTGCACGTAGGGCTTCAAGCGCCCAACGCAGAACGTTGGGCGCAGTCTCAGGTCGGAAAGTAGTTCCAACGTGTATGCACCGCCGTGTCGTTCAGCCACCGTGAACGGTCCGATGAAGCGCGGATCCAGCTTGCTGGCTCCGAATCCGGAAACCGCATTTGTACGTAGGTTTTGAGTAGCTAACAAGATCAATGAACAAATTTTGCTTTCATTTGTGTTGCCCCTGTCAGTGCCCGGCACTGACACTTCGTGGGTGCTTGCAGCAGGCCCTGCCTGTGCGTAAGTCTTCGCGGTGTCTGTGCTTCGCACAGACACGTTGTCCTTGGTCGAGGCAGGTGTCGCCTTCTCGTGGTTCTTCATAGTATCAGTTCCTGGCGCTAACACGTTGCCTTGTCGTGTGCGGCTCTCGCTCTCCCACATGTACTCACACCTGATAGATCCGTATCAGCTGTATTCTGTGGTTGTTCGAGCGCAACCGTTGATTCCCCCCACTCAAGGAGGAAGCCACCGCCCCGAGCGTTGCTCGGAAGGCGTGGGTGTTGCATGGCGTTCACGAAGAGCGGCGTATGCTCAGTCGAGGCATGTACCGTGTTGTTGATGGCGAACTCGGTCATCGGCAAGTAATCGCTCCAGTTGAGGGACGATTGGGGGTAGCTCTTCAGCAACTTCACGAGCACGCGGTTCACGCGCTCGATTTGCCCGTCCGTCTGCAGATGATCCGCAGTCGACATCGTGTAGCGCGGCTGCACGACAGCACGCAAGCTTCAGTGCTGGACGTTTGGAACCGTCCATAAAGCTTGCCGCATCGACTCCCGGAGTCGATGCATTGTCGTCATCGCTTCTCTTCTGTCAACGACTCGCGGAGTCGTTACAGCCCGTGCGCTTCACGCGCAACGACCTTAGACAGGGTCGCAAGCCACAGTCTCTGAAGGAGGTTCAGATGCACCGTTAGGTATATCCAACGCGCTAACAGGGCCATCGTTCTCTCTTTCGCCGCGGCGTCCGAAGCGTACGACCGTACGCTTCTCCCAATCGATAATAGGGTCATGCCGTTCAGGCTACGGCATGCCCAACACCATGTCGAACTTGCCGTCCAAGTCCAGGACGAAAAGTTCTTCCCCAAACACCCGGTGTTTGTACGAGAAGCGATCGCGAATTACGCGCTTCTCGGTCTTCACCATGGCACCCGTTGCCAATCGTACTTACAACTTAATTCGAGGCACATGCTTCTCCTTGAAGTCCAACAACGCTAGATATTGCTGGCGAACAAAGTTGTTCGACGCGCCCGAGTCCACCAACATCCGAAGAGAGTCCGCTCTCTTCGTCATCGACTTCACCTTCAAGATGACAAGATTTCACATATCATCTTGCACTTTGCAGTGAGATTCCCTCTCACTGGGGGCTGCATTCTTCAATATCGCGTGTCTGTTGTAGACACGCGTGCCTGCATTACCAGTAGGGTGCCCCGCGCCTACTGATCCCTTGCGTTTTTGTTCGACCGGGACGATACCCAGTACCTCCAGGTCGACCTTGGCTTGAGTGTACAGGTACCGTACACCCACATCCGTAGTGACCCATGTTTCCGCACCGGAAGCATCGCACGTTGCTTTCCTTGTTCTTCTGTTGTCCGGCAGCAGATGCATACGAAAGATCCATTGGTTCGGGACCTTCCGTCTTAGCAGCCTGCCGAGGCGGGCGTGGCACGTTCGTGTGTAGTTTAGCCTGTCTCCGGCTAATCACATCTTGCATGGCGAGGGTAATCGCAGTTTTGGGAGTAATCGGGTACTCTCGGAAGAGATAGGTCTTCACAGACCCATCCCTCAACCCCTTCATGAACGTGACGACCTTGGTCGCCTCGTCCATCGGGTCGGTCACGACGTTCGAGACCAAGTACCGAGCCCGTTGATCGTAAGCATGTACATCTTGCTTACCCTGCCGTAAGTCGAAAAACTCCGCTCTCGACCGGAACTCGTTCTTCGGGGGCTCAAACGCGAGTTTGAGCTCTTCCTTGATGGACTCGTACGTGCTGAAGCACGTAGGATCAGTGAGTCGGCGCCCGTAGGCCCAGCCCCTCGCGCGTCTGCCAAGACAGGACTTTGCGAAGGTGACTTTCGCCAATGGGTCGCCAAGCCGTCGAGCCATTACGGCAGTATCAAGTTCGACAAGCCAGCGGAAAGGGTCTCGCCTTCTCTGCCCATGTAGTTACTGACACGTAACTTCAAGTGTTCCTTCCGCGGTGTCTCCCCCGGAGACACTGGCTTTGCGGAAGCAACCTTGTGCTGCTCTCTCATGATGAATCCCAGAGCAACACCATGTTGCTCTGTCGGCGATAGCGTGCGCAGCATTGTCGCTACGGCTGCCTCTCCAATGCCTGTTGACAGTCGTTGGAGCGCCTCCCACTCTGGGTCCGCCAGGTGGGGGCAGTCTGTACGCGCCACATGCGTAGCAGACGTGCTCGGGCTTCCGACGGACGAACCGTCCATCGGAAGATTCTCTTGCCCGTGTTCGTAACTCATACAAACAAGGTAGTCGGTCGTTGGACGGACTACAAAGTGCTACCAGATGTAGTGGACCTAGGGCTCACTAGTTAGCTTACACGTGTGCGCACGTGTACGAGGAAGCGTAGGTGTTCCTAGCTTGTATAGCGTACACATGATGCGTGTGTACGGTAAGACAAGGTAGGAGCTGGATAGCATAAAATGAGAACTGTATTGTTGCTTAAAGGATGTTTCCTTCCTAAACTGTTTATCGAATATCTAAGGGACTGTCAGCGGGTGGCTAACAGTGATTCGCATCGCTGATTGGTAGAAGTGTGTCGCACTCTACCAATAAGATCTCTTCAAATGCAGTCTTGGTGTGTGAATACACCAAGACGGGAAACCTCTAACTCTAACCGATTAGCGTTACGGTTACAGTTTCGTGTGACTCCGTTACAGATGGCATGGACCGTTTAGGGTCAAGAAGAACGTGGAGGTGTTTGCCAACGAAGTCGAACTCCCTGACCGAAGTGGATACATATTTATACGGTTGTGTCATACTTAAAGACAGTAGACGAATTTAGAAATCGACCGAATGCTCGGTTGACACCGGACGTGAACGAGGCTTCACGATTAGATTTTGATGAATAATTCCCCCCAGAGGATAGCTAGGAACCAGGCCATGTCGCGGGTGATTTTGAAGTCGAAGCGATACTGGATGATATGACCCCTCTGCATAGAACGGGTCGTCAGAGAGTTCAAGGTGAAATGGGTCGGCTATGATGACCCGACTTGGGAGTCTGCATCCAATCTTTCGTGCAGTGGACTACTATACGACTATCTCCAAGAGGAACGCCACGATCGAAGGTTGGAAATGATCAAGTTGCTGACGAGGATTAGATGCTACTGATGAATGAACTGTCTGTGGGATTAAGCGCAGCCCACTGTAACAAACGAAAACGGTTACTGCACCGGATTGCATATGTTGCATGTTTGTATATGATGTGAATGAATTTTCGAAGTGGAGATGGGGAGAATGGAGATGACGAAATTACTTGGAATTACCACTGGAACAGCAAAACTTACTTAAGAACTGAGCTACCTAGAACGGAAACGAAATGGAGGAACTACTCCGACGCCAACCGCTCGCTGGTAGCGATTCGGACTAGCATCTCTAACGGAGCGAGCAATATGTCGGAAGGAGGCTCATCCGCACCGTGATCAAGGACCCCAACACTAGCCGGAGTGGCCGAGCTCTCGGTCGCCACACTACTATATCCCGATGTCGCTGTTTCAACAGGGGCAAATGGGAACAATTCCTCGTTAAGGGCCTCAGCCGTCTCAACAGGGGCTGGTTCATCGTTTTCAAGTTCAACCGGGTCCTCCTTGGCAGCTCCACCGGGTGCATTTTCGGTCGTCCCTGCAACAGCAGAGACCTCGTCGATCCATGGGGCCACGAGATCAGTGTCAGCCAGAGACTGGTCCACGACAATGCCAGAGATGAAAGCCTGCGGAGCCATCGAGGACGGCACGAAAAGTGGGGTATCAGGATTCCAGGGCGCATATAACGTGTTGTACGGATGATGCTCTGCAGGAGTATCAATCAAGTAATTTCTCCAAGGCGGCTTTGCATCCAACACCCGCAGCTCCTGAAACCAATCCGCGGTAGCCGGAGCCCATATCAGTACTTCCGTCGAATATTGGAGGTAGCTTGGCTCCAGCAAGACTTCTGTGGATAGCGTGCGGGTACGACCCCCAGCACACGTGCACTACCCCCACCGCCGATCAATCTGCTGCCGCAGAAGCTGCCTTGGTGTGTTGGTGGTTGTTGATCTTGCGATCCCTTTGAATTGCTTGCAGTCTCCGATGACTGGATCTTGAGGGGTTGAGAGATCGATGGATCTTCACAGCCAAGCACTAAATGCCGTGGATCCGGAGCTTTCACATATTCGAGACGCCTTTGTTCTTGGATGAGAACCTACTGGCACAATTATCAACGCGAGTAAGAACGGGAGATGGGTGCACCGAGACTCATATCCGACCGACTGGCATCCCTCCTGATGTGGCAATACTATGGGAGATGAAATGGGTTAAAGACGGCTTAGTAGATGCCTTGTCAAAAGTAGAGGCTACACGAACGGATACTGTCAAAGATATTATCACGGAGTTAGAGAAGAGAGCGATCGGTGTAGGTGCAGTCACGTACGATGATATGCACGCCGCGGTCAGAGCGTGTCTCGAAGATGCTGGCGTGACAGGTCTCGTTGAGAAACTGACTGCGTCTCAAATGGACGCAGGCGATAACCAATCTACTCCGTGTCACTATTGGGGAGGGAAATTCCGACGTGTGCAGAGCGACTTTGTTATCCTGGACTGCTCTGTCCGTCAAATGTGGCTGCTTTGGATGTGTGGCAACAAGTCGAAGCAGATCCCATCGCTTCGGCAGCTTGATGGGCGAGATATGCCTACAAAAGCGACTGAGTCAGCTTCGTTACGTCATGAGCAAGGTAGAGAAAGATGCTGTGTCAAAGAACTTACTGCATGACAGTCAAAGCGTCGACGAAGCAACGCAGGTCTTCATTGCCTGCGCGGAGTCTGTTGACGTAGACAAAAGAACAGAACACTCGCGAAAGTACCGGCGCGGACAGTTGAGTTGGGCGACGGGGGGGAAATTGCTGCGGAAGAAGGCAAAGCAACAATCGGTGAGCATTAGCGCCGTACAGAGAGAGAGTTAACAAAAGACAAACAGCCTTGTACGCACCTGCGTATTTTCTATAATGACCTCTCGCATAGAACTTTCAAACGACATACAAATTTGTACTGTCTGACTTTTGTCTGACGACTTCCATACAAGAATATTTTCTGGTGAAGAGGTTGTCTATTTTGTTGTTAAACTATAGAGTCCTGATATCGCTGGAGGCTTTGCCTGATCGCTAAACCGTTTAGTAAACGATCATTCAGGCCGGTACATGTACTGGTAATGTACATGTACGATGCAATGCAGTATTGGAAGTTCAAGCGACGAACTAAGTGGGAGCGATTGTAGCACGTTTCCAGATCAGGCGTCTTGAGTCATCTTGAAGTCATCTCGAGTCATCTTGCAGATGACAGTTGCCGGTGGGCAACAACCAATGGTGGAGCTCCATGATTGCAGGTCAGGCTTTCGTGGGTACATGTAGGAAGGCAGCAGTGCGAGGAGCTGCAGATTGTTGTTTTTGTTTTAAGCTCTACCTCAGTCAATTTTCATTTCTCCCTTGACTTCACAAGTCGTCTTCACTACCCCTACAATCACCGTCTTCGCGTCCGTCGCCCACTTCCTCTGCGTCAACCTACGACCTTCCAATAGGTTATGATGTCTTCGACCACGGCTTCGACGTTCACGACGAAATTGAAACAGTTCAACGGAACTGTCTTCCCAGCATGGGGAGCACAAGTGAAGCTAGTACTGGAGATTAAGGGTCTTTGGATCGCTGTGAACGAGCCTACGTCAAACGAAGCTGAACTGAAAAGCGAGAGGGACGCTGTTGCATCGGGTAGCTTCCACGGGGTCGTTAACACCGGCGACACCAGGGACGCCGAGTGCGACATCAACGACGCCGCTCAATGACCGCGTGATGAAGCAGAAGATGGCTGCTTCCATCATCTTGGCGGCGCTGAACGAGAAGCTCGCTGCGGAAGTATACCTGATGGAGCACCCGCTCACG